GCCACCAGGGAGGGCCGCTTCCAGCATTTTTAAAGCAGTGAGAGGATTCAGCACCGGAGTGCATGTGAAGAGTATGGAGGGACACCCCAAAGTCCTGGAGCGGGGGCCCAGCACAGAAAGGGAGCCCCAAAATGGAAACCTAGATAGTGTTGATGGTGTCTTTGGCTTTCCATTCACCGGCTCCCTTCTGTGCTGTCGTTTCATAGCCTCATCGACAGAAGAGGGTACATCCAGCCTGACACCCCGCAGCCAGCTCCGCCCGCCGGTGGGATGGCCGCCTGCGGTGCCACGCAGTCGCAGAGTAACATGGTAAGGCCACTGCTTCCGAGCGCCTCTCCTGTGCTCGGTGTCCGCTGACCAGAAAGCGGCCACTGGACACCTCCCGGACTCCCCCTGGCAGAGAGGAGCCAAGTCAGGCCCGGCCTGGGGGGGGGGCTGCCTCCCCACCCCCGGCAGTTTGTTCGGGGCTGTCCACGCACAAGTCTCCCAGAAACAGCTCCGGCCCCTTGTGGTGGCAAAGCCTCATGCAGAAGGGGGTGTCACCTGGGGACATGGCTGTCTGACTAGTCCCATACCCCAGCCTGCCCAATGGTTTAGTGGGTGCAGAACCCGCCTTTAAGTGTGCAGCTCGTGAAGCTCCAGTCTCCCCATGTTCGGCCAGGATCTTGGCTCAGGCGCACACCTGACCACACAGATCGAGGTCCACTCACCTGTCTGCCCAGGCACGGGGTCCCTGCCGCCAGACTGCAGGGCGCCTCCCGGTGGGGCTGGCGGGGACGCGGCCTGGGAAGGGGAGCTGGTTTCCCCTCTGCAGCTGGGAGACTTGGGGAGCACAGGAGCTTCTCCGTGGGCACCCGGCCTCCCAGGGCGGGGCCCCCTCTGACCGTCAGAGCCTTAGGACTCCTCCGGTGCCTGTCAGGCGGCAAGTTCCCTCAGGGGCTCCCTGCTCACGCCCTGGAGACCCGAAGTGCCGGCCACCGAGTTTCCTTGTCAGCGGGGTCGGAGGCCAGCCGTGGGGTGGACGGGAAGGACAGCCAGGCGCCTCGTAAAATGTCTTCCTCCAAAGAAAGCACATACACACTGTGCTGGGCCTTGGCCGGCACTTGCCCGCGCCCCCCAGAAGTGGCCCCCGAGGGTCACCCCCTTACCTTGCAGAAGAGGAAACCAGGACCGCGTGATAAGCAGCCCCCTAAGGAGAGCACCCCTGCCACAGCAGCTGCTGAGGCGCCTGCTCACATCTCACATGGCCGAAACCAGGGGTGGGGAGGGCGCGAGTGGCCCTCGCCCTTTGTTAAGCTGGGAAGGTCGATGTCCACCCAGGGGCGCAGGGCCCCACCCCCATCGGCAGCCCTGCCCCCCAGCTGCTCGTGGCCTGCGTTCGTCCTGCAAGTGTGCAGAGGCTCGTGGCGGATATGCCACGGCCGGAAGCCTTCCTCCGGGACTAGCAGGTGGACACGTGTCCTGCAAGGACAGAGCCGACAGACCGATCCTACACCCAGCCCCCACCGGGTGTCCAGACGAGACGACCTGGCCCGGGGCACAGGTGTGCAGGGTGTGGGCGAGGCGTCAGCAGTCTGGGGCAGTCAGACACACGAAGGCAGTGTCCGGGCCTTCCGCAGAGAGCCCGCTGGGACTCTGTCCTCACCCAAGACAGCCAGCCCACGCTCCCCGCCCCGTGACTGTGCGGCCCCTTCCCAAGGCTTGACAGCTAAATGAGGGCTTTTTCTCCAAAGCGTTGGCCCAGTGAGCCAGCGCTCACTGATTCTTTTGGCAGAATTCACCAGGGAAGCCGGGCGAACATCTTCCATTCACCCCCAAGTGTGTCTAGAGCAGCCCCTCCGTGGACGTGACTGCAGGGAGGGGGCGGGAAGCAGGGCCAGGAGCGCCCCCAATCGTCCCTCAGTTTCCCCACAGGCAAACTGGAACTAAGCTGGGACTAAGGCTCTACGGCTCTGTCCGTGCTCTGGTTCTCTTAAGCTGGTGTAAGTCTTTTGCCTTTAAAGCCCCGGCCACTGTAGCTGTCTGTAAGTCTCTGACTTTGCAGGTCAACATGCAGGTCACAGGAGCAGAGAGAAGTCCCTAGTCCTTCCCACCCAGGAGCGAGGCCCTGCTACTGCTGGAAGCGGACACTACCCTGTTGGCCTGGCCTCCTCCCTCCCGCCCTGCCCAGCAGACCGGGCACTCACCCAGGGCGGGTCCCCTCTGGCCTTCATTCCAAACGTCCTCCTGTGCGCTCCAGATTTCCTGCATTTCTAGGACATGCTCCTCCCGGTCAGGAGGGGACCGCACGTGTCCCCTAAGTTTGCCTAGTACTGCACAGCTTTATTCACAGATGTTGACCCATGGTTTTCCCGCGAGGCCTTGGGTGCTGGTGTCAGGGTGGACCTCGCCTCGTTGAGAGGAATGAGAAGTGCTTCTTCCTCTCCTGCGTTTGTCAAGTGTGGAGAGAACTGGGGCTGGTTCCCTGGTAGAATCACCAGGGAAGCCCTGGGGTGCTGGGCTTTCTGTGGGTGGTGTTTTCTCTCTGACGTGCTCCTGCCTTATTACAGCCTGCTCAGATTTGCTCTTTCTTCTTGAGCCAGTTTCAGTAGGGTCTTACCAGGAAGGTTTGGGTGTCACTGAGTGATCTAATTGCTCTCGCTGTCCTCAGCTTTGTTTTAGTATGGAAATAGACCAAAGGAGGGTACTTCAAAACTGAAAAGATAAAAGCAAATGGGTTGCCAAAATATGGAAAATGGGCCAAAATACTTCTAACTCCACTGGCTCGGGTGGCCTGAAGCTGTCACCCCGCCACGCACGTTACAAAACCAGCCTGGAGACCCACCGTGCTGGACCCGTCAGTCTCTGGCTGCCAAGCAGCCGTGAGCACAGGGGACTCTCTCCGCTCTGGCTGACGGCTGCATCCTCGCTGAGAGCTGTGCTCTGCAATTTGCCAAGCAGCCCATCAGCTTCCTTTCTGTTTATTTATTTCATTTTGGGGGGATATTATTAGCACTCACAATCAATAAGAGATGCCCTTGTCTTCTAATCCTCGGCTAGACAAATCTAACTGATGCACAAATGATTTCATGTTGAGTTTGTTGAAATCACAAGGTGAATTTCAGGCAGGTTAGAACTGGAACCCAGTTTATTCAATACGGAGTGGACAGCGGCCCTTGGCCTCTGCTGGGCTTCTCACTGCACTCAGCAGAGCGTGACTGGGAGCCATGCCACATGGCAAGGATCATCTCCTGAATGCCCCTAGAACCTACCAGGCACCCCCATTTCACAAGGGTGAAACTGAGGCCTTGAAGTAGTGACTGACATGCGGGTCACACGGCCGGGGGTCAGTGCTGGACGCTCTCACCCCCTGCCCCTCGTCTGCGTCCTGACTCTGCGCTGGTGTCAGAGGACCGTCTCCAGCTCTGGCTCCCGCCTCTGGGAGTTACACAGCCTGGGACGACCGTAAGAATCACCCCTGATCAACTAAGCCCGGTTACCTCAGCCTCCTCCATGGAGCCCAGCATTGGTCCCCGAGGTGATTTTAATCAGCAGCCAGCATGGAAAACTTTCTCCATCGCCTCAAACCCTCTTGTGTCTCCAAAAGTTTGGGTTAAATGGAACAGTTTGAGCCATTTGGGATTTGCTTTGGCACAAGCAAAAGCTGAAAAACCTTAGGACAAGTCGACTCAACTAAAGCTGGTCTTTCAAGTAGCATAGGTGAGCGTGGAATATGCTGGAATGGAAGGCTGAGAGGGGCGGGGCTCCGGGGGAGCCCTCAGGGCCCAGGTGAGGCTTCCTGGAAGCAGCGGCTGGAGAGCTGCATAGTAGCAGTTTAATTACCGCGAAATAGCCGGGCAAGGTCCTGAGCGCACAGACACAGACACACAGGTGGGGTGAAACCCGCGAGGGCAGGAACGGGGATCCCGCCTGTGTGGGCTGCAAAGCAGGCACCGGGGGGTCAGCTGGGCAAGCAGGTGCACAGGGGGCCTCAGGACCTGGCTGCCTGGGTTTTGTTCTGTGAATGGGGAGCCACCGCCGCGGCTCAGTGATCGCACCATCACTTGGGGTGAACGAGGCTCAGTGATCATCACATCACTTGGGGGGAACAGGGAACAGTGAGGAGGCCGAGTGGGGCCGAGTGGGGCATGGAGGGGGTGCGCAATACGGGCAAAGGGCGCGAAGAGGCAGCGGTGTCGGCAGCACCGGAGAGGTGGCTGCAAAAGGATGCTTTGGCTTCCGGGCCTTGACATTAGCTGATATTTATTCCCATCTTCCCTTCCTCGCTCCCTCCTTCCTCCTTTGTCACATCTGCACACGGCTCCTCTCTGACTGTGGCACTCGTACCTCGCAGGAAGGCGATCTCAGCCCGGACCTGGCACCATGGCTGCAGGAAGGGGTCGTCTCATACGATCACATCCTCCCGTGGGCACGAGGCCAGGGCCAGGCTCGTTCACCCGCCGACACCCAGGCGACGTGCCCTGCGCCTTCCCAGGGACGGTGGACACGTTAACACTGGGCAAGAAATGATAAGATCCAACACATGAAAAGCGGCCGCAAAATCAAAATCAGTCAGTGTTTAATGTCTGTGCCACACACGATCTGCCACTCCATGCATGTCCGATTTAGCACTCATGAAAATTTCATTCTGTGCTAGAAATGACTGGCAGGTTGGCTTTTCTCACTTCCTAAGAATTCCCAAGCACGGACATGCTTCCATAGAGATCTTGACCAGTGGCAAAAAGCGAGTGAGTCGCTCATGGTCAGAGAACACTGAAGGTAAACCGGCCTGGCCCGGCTTTCTGGCGCTCAGGCTGCCTTTGCTGGGAGAACACGGCTTCCCTCCGCTTACAATTTGGAGTTTGTTCCCAGGGCTCCTCCCCAGTGTCCCGACGCATTAGGACAGCTGAAAGAGAGGCCAATATGGAACCTCTGACAGGGAAAAGAAGAGGTGTGTTCTGTGTGGCCCCCGAGGTCAGAGCCAGGCCCAGAGGAGCACGCCCCTCCATTCCAGAGGGTCACCCAACACCCAGAGCCCGAGGCGGAGGCATCACCATCCAGGAGCGTGCCGAATGGGGACGCTCCACCCTAAGGAATTTGGACAGAGGAGGGCAGGTGGGAGGGAGAACACATGTTGGCTTTTGGGGTGCCTCCCGGTGCAGAGCCTGCCAGGTAGGTTCTTGGTCAGCCAGGAACTCTACCCTGCCGGGTCCGGTCGCCACCGTGTCATGAAAGTTCCCGACACCAGAGCACGGACAGGCTGCTCAAGCTCCTTCTTCCTTGCTCTTTATAGTCTTCCGTGATGGGGGCACCATGGTAGGGAGCAAGGA